TTGCCCAAAGTTTCACTCCACTTGGGAATTGAACCCCAGTCCTCTCGCTTGTAAGGTGAGCACGCTAAATTATGCTATGGGATGCCTCACGAGGTGATCGTGAGTTTGCAGTACACACCCCAACACATTTGGCTACAAAAACACACAGTCACCGCACGTGAGAGTAAAATCCCGTGAAGCGCTTTGAGACATTTTGGTGTCATGATAAGGCACTGCATCTGATCTAAACAATAAATTTAAAAAAATTTGCATTTGATACTTTTTATAAAAACGTATTTGTCCTCTTCCCAAAAACTGCAAAACTTGTAACAAACTTGTAAGAGGGAGGGAGATGAGTGACTGGGTGAGTGCAGGAGTAGGCACGGCACAGGGACCATAACAAAGAGAACAGTGAGTTCAAACAGGATGGAGCTAATTGAAGGAGAATGGGACTAGTCTCCCGCAGAGGGCAGTCAGATTAAAGGTCCCAGTGACTGGGGAGCTCCTACACTGGAACGTTTCGTCTGCAGCCAAATCACCTGAGCCGCAACAGGGCAAATTGCTGGTTTAAGCTGGGAATAAAAGCACAGAGACTGAAGGGATCAGCAACGGCACCAGGGTTTGCTCCCTCCTCCTCCCTTCCCCACCTCCCCGCCGGGCGCAGTCACAGGCTCGGATGCTGATCGTTTTATCTGTGTCTTCATCTTCGGGAATTAAGGATTGGTAGCGAGGGAGGGGGTGGGGGGTGGAAGACAGGGCGGGGAAGGGTGTCATTCTGCTTTATCCATGGGATGTGAGATTCAAGCCAAGGGAACATACAATAATTCGAGTAATCCTTGCATTTGATATAACACCTTATCATGTCATTGAGAAGTCTCAAAGCGCTTCACAGAATATACTATAAAGTGGAGTGACTGTGTATTTTGTGGGCGAAACACGGCAGCCAATTGGCACAGCAGTTGATGAATTCATGCTACTTCCACATACCCAGCATTTCACCTTGCGAAAGAAAGAAAGAAAGAAAGAAAGAAAGAAAGAAAGAAAGGAAGAAAGGAAGAATTGAAGAAACAGAAAGCAAGGAAATCCATCTTTCAGATGAGACATTAAACCATGTCTGTTCAGGTGTACGTTAAAGATCATGTGACGATATTCGTAAAGAGAAGGGAGTTCCTCTCCTGGTGTCCTGGCCAAAAATTGGCCAGATCTAAAAAAAATTTGCACACTCAATCCACGGCTGTTTGTGGGACACTGCTGTATGCAATTGGCTGCCGCATGTTGCCCACAAAATACACTGTTAATTCACTTTACAGTATATCCTGTGAAAGCGCAGTTAGGTGTAACAAGGCACTAAATCTAATGAAGGGATTATTATTATAGATTATTTGAGATGTTTTGACATGGTGAATGATTCTTATTTTGATTATTGTTATTTTGCTGGTTTTGGTGGGTCTGGTTTGTGCTCGTTCTCCGTGCTGCGATGGGAGGAGAACAGTGTGTCCACTGTCTCCTGGCAGCAGATGGATACCCAACCCGACTCAAGCAGGGGTGGGGGTCAGCCTCGTGACTCAGGTTCCCACAGCCCAGCGAGGGGTTAAATCAGAGCTTTCCTTAATAAAGGCTGGTCATCAGGAAAACAAAGAGGAGAGGTGATTAGAGCCCAGATATTCCATCAGGGAGCTTGTTGGTAACAGATAGCCGACTGGCTCCCTGGATTTGGGAGACTGGCTCTGGCATGCTTGGATGGGTCAGTGACTTTGCTCTGTTATTTCCAAAGCTCCATGTAATCACATTATCCCCCACCCCCCACAGCGAAGCAGTGTTAGACAACCACCGCTACACTGGTTCAAAAGAGACATCACTTTGTGCATTTTTTTTCCTCGACAGTGAATTAAATCTATTAATAATTCCCCTCTACAGGACACAGCGATACATAATCGACTTCACTAAATGACTTGTATTTACACAGCGGCTTTTGTTACAAGTTTGGTACAAGGTTTGCAGGTCACTTTGGGGCAGAGGACGAATACGCTATTATAATAAGTGTCAACTAATAATAATAATCCTTGCATTGGCCTTATAATGTAGTCGAGACTTCTCAAAGCGCTTCACAGAATATACTGCAAAGTGGATTGACAGTGTATTTTGTGGGCGAAACATGGCAGCCAATTGCCCACAGCAGTGTCCAACAAATAGCCGCCCACCACACCGTGGAGAATGAGTGCGAGTAAGTCCCAACGGAAACAACTAACTAGCAAAAATACTAATAATAAAAATAATATTTATTTTTGCATTTGGTATTGTGCTTTATCACAGGAAAACATATCAAATAATATATTATAATAATCCTTGTATTTGATGTAGCGCCTTATCACATCGTTGGACATCACAAAGCACTTCATAGAAAATTGACAGTATATTTTGTGGGGAAAAACACTGCTGCCAATTGTGCGCAGAGTGAACAAATAATTTTATCTGGGGATTGTTTGCCAGGAAACTGGAGAGAGCGCGAAACTCACTTCTCTTTTCGAATGGCACCGCAGGATCTCTAACATCCACCTGAACAGGCTCAGACGGGATCTCAGTTTAACGTCTAGTCAAAAGGATAGCGTTTCTACCGCCCAGAGGGCCAGCCTAGATTGCCCTATGATTCTATAATATTTCCAACAAATTTTAATAATAATCCTTGCATTTGATTTAGTGTCTAATCAAGTTATTGAGATGTCTCAAAGTGTTTAACAGAATATATTGTGAAGTGGATTGACTGGAAGGAATGTTTGTGTGTTATGACAGCCGCAGAGGGCTGGATCAGAAAGGAGATTTTAATGTAAAGCTTATTTTATTTGGATTGAGAATGGCGCTGGTAGTTTTCCATCACAAGTTGAAGAGTAAACAATCCAGTTCCCAAGCTCTGATCCCACACCTCAGTGACTGCGCATGCAGGCACACTGAGGCATCACACCAAACAGAGGGATGTTCAAACACAAGGCAGGCCTCACAGCTGTGAGTGAGGCTCTGAGGTCTACAATACAATACAAAATTACATTTGTATAGTGCCTTTCACGTTGGGAGGACATCCCAAGGTCTACAGCGATTAAACATCAGGTAATTGGCAAGCTTCTGTTTCTGTGGAGAATTCCACTGAAGTTCTCGATCCCTATTATTGAGAATAGCTCCTGTTAACCCTGCAAGGGTAGGGTGGTCGAGCAGTGGGAAAGCTTGCCAGGCAGTCTCTCAATGGCAAGCTATGTGGTTTTAGTTGGTTAGACTCCAACAGTTACCCCAATGCACACTCTCGTGTCCCCGGGCCTTGGCTCTTGCCAACCTGCGCCTAATACTTTCCTGAATTAGATAAACAGGATGCTTCCCTTCAGGGAGAGAGTGCACATTCCATTTCAACAATCTATCTCTCTGGGATTTCCACGTGTAGGTGGGATGCATGGAATTCTCACTTGGTTTGGATACTCTTAAGCCTGGGGATGGGTTTCTGTGTGTGTGTCAGACACCCTGACACCCCAAAAGTGAAGTCCTGTAGCTCAGTGGTTAGAGCACTCACCTTGCAAGTGAGACACCTGGGTTCAATTCCAGGCAGGGTGAAACCTTGGGCAAGTTTCCTTACTCCACACGCCTAATAATAATCCCTCCAAAACAAAACAATAATAAATTGGTCATTTTCAATCCACGACTGTTTGTGGGACACTATTGTGTGCAATTGGCTGCCGCGTTTTGCCCACAAATATATAGTCAATTTACTTTACAGTATATTCTGTAAAGCGCTTTGAGATGTCTTGAAGATGTGAAAAGCGCTATATCAAATGCAAGGATTATTTATCATTATTATAAAAAATATTGAGAATATTCTGACCACTGGAATTCTACAAAATACAAACAGAAGGGGTTTGGGCCATTGGAAGTGAGTGGAAAGGGAAGTTTCTTATGTGCCTGAAATATTATTTATTGGTGGGGAATGGGGGAGAATTGTTAGCCAGAACACCGGGAGTAACTCCCTTCTCTTTAACATCCACAAACAGGCACCTTGGGATGTCCTTCTGACGTGAAAGGCGCTATACAAATGTAATCTTGTTATTGTTAGAAGGGACCTCAGTCTAACATCTCAACTAATAGATACCTCCAACAATGCAACAACAACAATAACAAAATTACATTTGTATAGTGCCTTTCTCATCAGGAGGACATACCAAGGTCCTGGACAATCAGTGTTTAGTGATCCAGTGATCCAAGCTGGGGGTCGTGATCGGGGCGGGTGGAGGGCAAGGGGGAAGAAGGGTGATCACAGGCACAATCAAAGAGGAGGGTCTTGAGATGCGTCCTGAAGGAGGCAAGGGAGGGGGCAAGGCGGAGGGTGTGCGGATGGAGTTCCAGAGGGTGGGGGCAGAGTGGCTGAAGGCCTGCCTGCCAATGATGGAGCGAGTGAGGCGGGAGATGTGAAGCAGGCTGGAGCCTGCTGAGCGGAGCGAGCGGGCAGGTTGGTAGGGAGATTGGTGACAAAATCATTATTATTTTTTGTGGGAGGGATTATTACCCCCAAAAAGTGATCCACCAATTGACTAACAAGCAGGTTCCTCCTTGCTGCTAGGTAAACAGAGGCATGTGGAGTAAGGAAACTTGTCTAAGGTTTTGCCCTGCCCAGGTCCTTTCACTTGCAAGGTGAATGCTCTAACCACTACTTGACGGGACTACACAAGAAACCCAGAACCTTTAATAAATAAAAATTTATCGGAAGACAAGATAGACACAACATAGAAATCAGAGGTCCCAGAATTCCCCCTAGTCTCAGCTGTTTTGTCTTCAAATCGAACTCTATTCCCAAGGAGGATGGGACCAATGAAAATAACATAAGCAAAAAGAAAATGGACGACCATGTGATGAATAAATAATAAACTTGTATTTAATATAAAATGTTCATAATATAATAATAATACTCCTCGTATCAGTCACAGCGCCTTTCTTAGGGCAGAGCTTCAGAACAACAACAAGAAATTACATTTGTATAGTGCCTTTCACGTTGGAAGGATGTCCCAAGGCTCTGACAAGTGTGGTGACTGTGTATTTGTCCAAACATGGTTCAGTATAGTATTAAGATGCTCAGGGGCTCCCGGGGCCTGAGTCGTCCTCCTGGTTGGTTCCTCGGCCCTCCAGCCTGGCCCCCTCCTCCTGCTCGCTGTACTGGGAGTCGGGGCTGGGCTGACGACACACCAGCCCCAGTTTAGCCAGCTTGGCCTGCTGCTGCTCCAGGCTCTGCTTCCTCCACTTGATCCTGCGGTTCTGAAACCACACCTTCACCTGTTCGGGTTAGAGAATTCTCATCATTAACTGACACCAAGGCTATCCCTTCCCCGAGCCCTTCCATTCCAATCTCACTCTTTTTCTAATATCATTTTGTGGAGTCCTCTCGTGTAGTGGTTAGAGAACTCATCTCGTAAGCGATAGGACCCGGGTTCGATTCCGGGTTGGGGCAAAACTGTAGGCAAGTTTTCTTACTCCACACCCCTCTGTTTGCCGAGCAGTAGTCGATTAGTCGATTGCTGGATTACTTTCCAGGGGGTAATAATCCCTTCAAACAAAAATGTGGTCACTCAATCCACGACTGTTTGTGGGACACTGCTCTGCATAATTGGCTGCTGTGTTTCACCCACAAAATATTCAATTCACTTTATAGTATATTCTGGAAGCTCTTTGAAATGTCTCAAAGATGTGATATGGCGCTATATCAAATGTAAGGTTTATTATGATCATTATTATTAGGAAACACTGGAAGAACAGAACTGAGAAAAAGTAAACTCATCCACAATATTCTTATTCAGTGCTTTATGGTGAATCCACAATGATATTATTAATCATAATTCTTGCATTTGATAAAGCGCCCTTTTAATAATAATAATTCTTCCATTTGACATAGCACCTTATCACATCATCAAGACGCCTCAAAGTGCTTCACAGGGTATATTATAAAGTCCAGTCACTGTGCATTTTGTGGGCCAAATGCGGCAGCCAGTTGCGCACAATAGTGTCCGACAAGCAGTTGTGGTGTAAGTGACCAATTTCATTTGGGGGATTGTTGACCAGGACACCAGGAGAGAGAAACTCCCTTCTCTTTTCAAACAGCACCACAGAATCTCTAACATCCACTTGACCAGGCAAATGGGACCTCGGTTAACATCTCATCCAAAGGACGGTGCTTCCGACAATGCAACGCACCCCATGTCAAATTCGAAGATTATTATTATTATTGTTATCTGAACTGTTTGTTCACCAGCCCTTGTTTCCGGCCTTGAATTTCCTCTTGGTCTTTTACTTAAGGTCCCTATCAATTTAAATGTTAACATTGTGTGGAATTTTGGAAGATTGTGAGAAAAAAAGGCTTCAAAATAAAGACAGGATCTGAGAATATTCAAACATATTCTGTGATACAGAAGATTTTAAGGAAATGGGCCTTAAGCTTAAGACCATGAGAAATTCTGCATCCCTGAGCTTCGTCCCCCTCTGTACCGTTTATGACATCTTAATAATAACAGTCCTTGTATTTGACATAGTGCCTTATCACACCATTGAGACGTCTCAAAGTGCTTCACAGTATATTCTGTGAAGTGCTTTGAGGCATTTCGAAGACGTGATAAGGTGCTATATAAACTCAAATCTTCCTGGGTTAAAGTGAAGACTGGGGGTGGTGGGGTGGGGTGGGGGTGTTTGGAGGGGATTATTTACCTGTGCTTCACTCAGGTTCAGGGCTGAAGCCAGGAGGTATCTCTCTGTTCCCACCATGTACTGCTGCCGAGCAAATTCCTTCTCCAAACGGGAGAGTTGTTCCTGAGTGAAGATGGTTCTCACTCGCTTAGACTTGCCAGCCTTGCATTTGAGGGTGGAGAGCAAGGGAGGTTTACAGAGAGAGAAATCTGTAAGGAGAGAGAGAGAACGATCAGACAGGGACAGGAGGAAAACTCAGGGGCATCTCACTAACCACTAAAATCAGTCATACACACACAGCCGATTAAATGTGTTTTAAATACTTATACATTTAGTCAATTGGCAGATCGCTGAGTGAAGCACAGGTAAATAATCCCCGCCCACTCACCCCCCGAAAAATGTAATCACTCAATCCACAATGCAATACAAAATTACATTTGTATAGCACTATTCACATTGGGAGGACGTACCAAGGCATTAGACAGTCAGGGACATGGATCCGAACTGGGGTTTCTTATACAGAGTCTGTCTTACCTGATGTGCAGAGCCCAGAGCGGCAGGTAGTTTGGTGGTAGATGAACGGTGGTCCCAGGTACACAGGATAGCCCTGGTGAGGAGACACTAAGTCCGGGTAGAGAGACTGCGTAGTGGCCGTGCTGAAAGCCAGGGTGGGTAGTGAGGGGCTGAGAGCCAGACACTTCCCCACCCGGCAGGGCTCTGTCTGGGAGCTGGAGAGCAGGGAGTCGATGCTGAAGGACTTGCGGCTGGTGGGTTTGGAGGGCAGTGTGTGTGGAGGACAGCCCAGGCAGAGGGGAGGGCAGGGAAAGGATGGGTGGGAGCCCAAGTGCCCTAGGCTAGGAGCTGGGACCTGCATGGTTTACAATGAGGGAGTGAAAGGAATGTCAAAATACACCCAACTCAACCCAATTTATCTCAACCAAACTAACTCCTCACTTAACACCTCAACTCAACCCAACTTAACTCCTTAACCCAGCCCAACTCCTAACTCAACAAGTCAATCCAACTTAACCTCAACTCCTCAACACAGCCCAACTTAACTCACCCAAACCCCTATTCACCGGAAAATAATGACTGTGTTTGTAAGCACCCCCCACCCACCTGGAGAGGATGGTTTGGCTGGCAATCTCCTCCAAGTACCTTTCAGAACACACAGTCACTACACTTTAAGGTGAATCCTGTGAAGTGCTCCAAATCAATTTAACGCAACCCAATTTAGCTCAACTAAACTCTGTTCTAGACAGCTACTGTTACAGGATAAAACCAAAGCTGACAAGCTATGCTACTGAACTTCACAGCTCCCAAAGTCTGTGGACTCATCCCAGGTCCCCTCCTTTATACACAATCCCCGGCCCTTGATGTGTGAAGGCCCCCCAGGGAGCTCTTGTTGTGATGAGCACAGATGTGAGAGGGTGGCTGCTCACACAATCTCTGTGGCTTGAATTGATTGACTGCTGACACACTGGTGTGGTCAGGTTACAAACTCACCGTGTCCATAAAGTGGGGAGTGTGACATTCTCTTTACACTGAGATCTGTAAACCCTTTCTCTTCTGATGCGTTATGCGCTTTCACGGGGGGGGAGAGAGAGAAAGAGAAAAAGAGGGAGAAAGAGGGAGAGAAAGTGAGTAAAGAGAGTCAGAAAAAGGGAGAGAAAAACACAGGGAGAAAGTCATGTTCCAAGTGTAACTAATTGAATTCTTGTTAATTCCTGTTAAATAGAAATAATAAAAATGATTGTATTTGATATGGGTCTTTCATATCGCAAGGATGTCTCAAAGTCTCTGTCAGGATTTACTGTAAAGTGTAGTGACTGTGTGTTTCGTAGGTGAACACAACAGCCATTTTATGCACAGCGGCGTACAGCAAACAGCCATCAAGCGATTTTATCTGGGGGATTGTCAGCCAGGACACTGGGGCAGAAAACTCCCTTCTCTTTCCACATGGCTCAGCGGGATCTTTAACGTCCACCTGAACAGGCAGGGATGGGACCTGAAGCTTAACTTTTTGTTTGAAGCGCGGAACCTTGACTGAGGCGAGAGCGTTACTGACTGAGCCCGGCTGATATCACAAAACCAGTAAAAGTAAGATTCGCTCACAACATACACTTTACACTGAATCCTCGGAATCGCTTTGAGATGTTCTCCCAACATGAAAGGCTGATATCAATTGCAATGATTCTTATTATTTCGATTCAACAAGAATTCAAACAATTACACTCGTACGAGACTTCATCCTTTTCGCTCTCCCTTTTGCTCTCTCTTTCTCCCTCTTTCTCTTTCCCGCCCTGGCTAAATAGCAGCAGAAGAATGGAGTTTTGCTCGGCTCTGTTACCAGTGGGTCTGTTTTGGGAGCTTTTTTGTTTAATACTTTCATAAATAATTTGGAACTAGAAGTCGCAAGCATAGTGGCTAAGTTTGCAGATGACACCAAGCTAAATGAAGATGGTAGATTGCGAAGCTGAACAAGATAGTTCACAGGAGGATTTGAACATACTTGGGAATTGGGCAGATCGGTGGCAGATGAAATTCAATGTGGAGAAATGTAAAATGCTTCACATGGGGACAAAAAATCCTGCAAGTAAAATAATATGTATGGAAAATGAAAAGGACCTGGGGGTCTTGATTGACAATAAATTGAAGCTCTCCAAGCAATGCTCTGTGTTAGTGAGTAAAGCAAACCATATGCTGGGATGTATCAAAAGATCAATAGCAAGTAGCAAGCTGAAATAGTGGGGTAATCCTGACACTGTATAAATCATTGGTGAGACCATACTTAAAAGTACTGTGTACAGTTCTGATCACCGCAGTACAAAAAGGGTATTGGAGAAATCAAGAAGATACAGAGGAGGGCCACCAAAATTATCAAGGGAATGGAAGGACTGGACTATGAGGAGCGACTAAGTAAATTGGGCATGTTCACGCTGGAAAGGAGAAGATTGAGAGGTGACATGATTGCTGTCTTTAAGATTCTAAAGTATAGATCATGACAGGCTGTTTCAACTTGTCCAGAATAGTAAAACCAGAGAACAGGGCCTGCGATTGAAGTGGGGTAAATTCAGAACAAATCTGCAAACACTATTTCAGTGAGCAAATAGTGAACCTGTGGAACAGGCTCCCTGGGGAGATGGTTGAAGCAGAAAGAGTTGATTCCTTCATACACAGATTAGATAGTTTTCTTTTAGGAAATAACATTATGGGGTATAGTACATAGTTTGAGATATATGTGCATGTGACCACCAGGAAGGTGGAAAGTGAACTAGATGGACCTTGGTCTTTTCTTGTCTAGTATTTCTTATGTTCTTGTGTTCTTATGTAATACAGTCAATTCACTTTGCAGTATATCCTGTGAAGCACTTTGAGACATTTCAGGTTGTGATAAGGCACTATATCAATTGCAAGGATTATTATTTTTATTATATTATTAGTCCCCACCTGATTTTAACAGAAAATGTGCATAAATCAGCTGCGGCATTCAGAGACACACACTGACACACACTGACACACTGAAAAATACTGACACACACTGACAGAGACACACTGACACACTGACAAACACTGCACACACTGACAGAGACACACACCGATAGAAACACACTGACACACTGAAAAATACTGACGCACAGGGCGGGGGGGGGGGGGGGCAAGGCGAAGGGATTGGGGGAGAGAGTTCCAAAGCTTTGGGGCATAGTGGCTTAAAGCGCTGCTGCTGATGGTGAAGCGGAAGGGACAAGGGACAAGCAGGAGGTGCGAGCCAGACAGCGACACACTGACAGTGACAGTGATTGTATTACGTAGTGATTCTGTGGGGTAGTGACTGTGTAGTGTAGTGACTGTGGCTGGGCTGGTGTCTCCTCAGTATAAAAGCACAGCCTGCAGGGAGCCGAGAAAGTCATTATTGCTTCATTCACCCGACGCCTTGGCTGATAGCTGCCCCTCACACCTAGAGGGGAAGCCTCGATACCAGCACCTGAGAGAGAGTGTGTGAGAGAGGGAGGGAGAGGGGAGTGAGTGAGAGTGTGTGAGAGAGAATTTGTGTGTGTTTGAGAGAGAGAGAGAAAATAGGTTGAGAGAGTGTGTGAGAGAAAGGGGATGTGAGAGAGTATGAGAGTGTGTGATTTTATAGACTCCAGAAACACCGGGTACCTAAACACGGATGTCAGTAATTATAATAATAATAATAGTCTGCATCTGAATCAGCGCCGGCTCACTGGATTCACTGTGAATGATTTCACCCTCTCTCTCTCTCTCCCCCTCTCTCTGCCCTCTCTCTCACTTACTCTCTCTCATTCTCCGTGTATATCTGTTTCTCTTCTCTCATAGTCTCCATATCTCTCTCTCTTTCTCTCTGAGCCTCACCGAGCTCTCAGTGTTGAGTTGTTGGCTGGCTGTGTGCCCCCACCCCGGCCCACACACAGCCTGGCTGCTGCCTGGGTGTCCGAGGGTGTTTCCTGCCGCAATAAAACCTAATTAGATCCTTTACCATCAAAATAATCTGCTTCACAGGATTCACTGTAAAGTGTAGCGACTGTGTGTTTGTGGATGAATGTCGCAGCCAGCACAGCAATGCCCCGCAAATAGCCGGGAAGTGAGTGACCGATTGTATCTGGGTGGAATGTCGGCCAGGACATCGGGAGAGAGAAACTCCCTTCTCTTTTCCAACAGCGCTGCGGGATCTTTAACATCCACCTGAACAGCACAGATAGTTTAACATCTCATCTGAAGGAGCTGAGCTCTGAATGGGTGTCAGCCCAGCTTAGTTGCTTGCACTTGCCAACCTGAGAAGGTTGTGTGTTTGAGCATTACATTGTGGCGGTGAGTTCATGGTCCAGGCTGATGCTCCAGTGCAGTGTGGGGTGGGGGGTGTGGGGGGGAAGAGAGCACTGCATTGTCAGAGACGTTGTCCTTCAGATGAAATGTTAAACCCATCTCCCTGTCTGTTGGTAATAAATATCCCACGGCGCTATTCAAAAGGGAAGGGAGTTTCTCTCTCTTACTCAATGCTGATCAGCCTCTGATGTTTCCACCTGTGACTGAGACCAAAGTTAGGACAGTAGCCATAGCAACCTCTCATGGATCACTTTCACACCCACTGTCTCAGCTCTTGCCTCTTCCTGTTTCCTCTGTCCTTGGGACGTCCTCCTGACGTGAAAGGCGCTCTATAAATGGAATCTTGTTGTTGTTGTTGTCCTTATTGGGGGGGATCCTAGAATCTGAACTGGCTCCAAGGTGACATGTTTGGCAATGGAATATCTGAATCGAGTCCACCCTCTGTGACGGTCTCTAGTCGGGATCCTGAGCCAAGTGGGTCCGCAGTGTTCCAGGGCACTGCTGATGGCAGCACAGCCCAGCCTGGCTCATCACCAGGACCTGGAAGGGCAGACCAGTCACTGGGGACAGGGAATCCTCCCACTCAGCTCCTGTTAACCCTGAAAACCAAAGCCCTCACGGGTAGGGTGGTCCCAGCTGGACAAGCAGCGGGAATGCTTGCCAGACAGTGCTATCAATGACAAGCTATGTGGTTTTAGCTGGTTAGACTCCAGCAGTTACCCCAACACACACTCTTGGGTCCCTAAGCCTTGGCTCTTGCCAACCTGCGCCTAATACTCTCCAGAATTAGGTAACCAGGATGTGTCCCTCCAGGGAGAGAGTGTGCATTCCATTCCAGACATGGGGAATTTCCATGTGTAGGTGGCAAACATGGAATTCTTGGTTTGATTTGGATACTATTAATCACAGTGATGGGTCCCTGCAGGTGTCAAACACCCGGCTGCTGAAATATCAGGGGTAAATGATTTTCTGGAGGCCAATGAGATTCCAGAAACAGCTGAAAGGTGAACAAGCAATTTATCTGGGAAT